CTGAACCCCAGGTTTCTCTAAGCTTCCCTATGGCACCTGCCTTGAGTCTGCCTCATCTCATACTTGTTTCATTCATTCATTCAACAAACTGCTGAGCACCGGAGCCCAATGTGGGCAGCAGAGCTACAGGGGACAGAGGCCAGTGTGAGACACAGGCGATGAGCAATCAGAGTACACGGGCTCTGGTATTAAACAGTGGAGTCCTAGTCCTGCCTCCACTGCTTGCTCACCAGCTGTGCGACCTTGGGCAAGCTGCTTAGCCTCCCTGAGCTTTGGGACTCACAGGCTCACAGTGAGAACTGAATGATGCAGTTCACAAGGAGGTCTCGGCCCAGGGCCTGGCTCATTGCAAGGGCCCCGTACACAACAGTAATGTGTGGGAGGGAGCTTGGAGCAGGTACCGCCCAACTATCTCTGGGTCAAGGCTGGGTCATGGGGAATCCTTACCTCATGGCTATCCGGCCCTGCAGGGTGGTGGTGACCATCAATAAGAAGAGGAACCTGTTGGTGTCTGTGGATGACAGGGCCACCTTCGAGGTGGTCCTACACCGAGTGTGGAAGGGGAGTGCAGTCCACCAGGATTTCCTGGGCTTCTATGTGCTGGATGGTCATCGGATGTCGGCACGGACCCATGGGCTGCTGGGTACTGCTGGCCAGGCGGGTGGAGCTGTGGAGCTGTGGAGTGGGTGGTGATGTCAGTGGATTTGTGGGACCTGGGGCCACCAGTCAGCCTCATAGCTAGGCACCAAGGTAGGTGCACCTGCCGCGTGGTCCCCAAGGCTCAGTGCTCCAAAGGTGGCTTGTCCTGGCAAGAGCGGGCCTCAGAAAGGCTATGACTAAACACACAGGGAAGCAAAGCTTGAGTGAACCTGAGAGTCAGTCAGGGAGCAGTCACATGAGGCCTTGCCGGTGGGGTGGTCAGGGGCTGCACTGCATGTGTGTGGCCTTCCTGCAGCCCCTGCTCTCTGCAGGGCCCTGGCCCTCTAACCTCCCTCCCCAGCCAGATCCCTCTGGAACTGGTGGGAAATGATGGGAGGAGGGACCTCTCGGAAATGCACTTGCTTCCCCGTAGCGGGAACACGAAGTGGCTTTTGAAGCCAAGACATCAAAAAAAGTAAAGGCCTTGATAAAAGGGTCCAGGTGACTCTAATTCCCTACTGAGCACCTATTGAGGGCGAGGCAGGGACAAAGACCCCAGATGGTTACAGCAGCCTCTGATGTGACTTTTCAGGACAATTTTTCCACCCCTTCGACGTTGAAGTGTCTGACATCCACCCAGGCTCTGACCCCACAAAGCCAGAGGCCACCATGGTGGTGAAGGGTCGCCGGCTGACCGTCACCAGGTGGGTGGCACTGTGCCCTGGGCTCTGGCTCTCTGCTGCTTTGCATCCCCAGTTGCTGGTGCAGGCTTCCCCTAGCTGTCACATGGGTGGGATGAGCTTCCTGGGAGGTACGGCCCTGCTGCGTCCACAGGTTGACCCTGTGTCTCTTCACAGGGGCTCGCAGAAAGACTACAGCAGGAACTTCCGGCATGGGGTCAGGGTGACCTGCTGGTTCGTCCATGACAATGGAGCTGGGCTGATTGACGGCGTCCACACTGACTACATCATGCCGGACATCTTCTGAGCCCTCTACCACCGTGCCTGGCCTCAACCTGGGGTGGTGGCCCAGAAGAAGGACAGAATCCTGGCCTGCTGCCCAGGCTCCACCTCCCTGACCACGCTGGTCCCATGTCAAAGCACCAGATGACTTCAGTTAAAGAGAGGCTGCAGGTGGCATGGTGGTTAAGGTGCTGGACTCCCACATGGCCGACAATGAATCGAGTCCCAGACCTGATGGCTTGCTTTCTCACTTTCCTTTTTTCTCTCTTTTTCTATCTCTCTGTGGTCTAATTAAAATAATAATAATAATAATAAATTAAATAAATAAATAATTCTTTAAAAAGGGAGAGAGAGAAAGAGGCTATGCCCAGCCCAGAGCTCGCTGCCCTGAGGGAGGGAGGGTAGCAGGGAGGTAGTCCAAGATGCTGCCCCTAGAATGGCTCAGGGACCACAGCGGGCCCAAGGGCAGGAGAAGCAGGTCGGAAGCTGGGGGGCAGCCTGAGCCAGCTCTGCCCCACTCCCCTGCTCTCTGCGGCTGCCTGGCCCTGGCCCTTGGAGTGCCCTGAGCACCCCTGCACACAGCTGTTCCTGGTGGACACTGGAACAGCCATAGCTGACCCTGTGCTTCCTGTGGCCAGGGCCTGCTCTAAGACCTCAGGGGATTCACTACATTCATGCTCCTAGCAGCTCCATGGGATACTGTGATCAGACCTATTTACAACTGAGGAAACTGAGGTTAGGTCATTTGTCCAAAACCCAGGTGGTGTAGTGGTTAAGGCACTGGACTCCCACATGGTCAACTGTGGTTTGGGTCCTGAACCCTGTGGCTTGAAACTCACACCAGGTGCATGTTTGTGCATGTCCAAAATCCTGAAAGGAGAATGGAGCAGAAGGAATTGCGATGTGGCCCTCTTCCTGGGAGGTGATTGCTCACTTCCTATCTCTGTCTCTCTGGAAAGTGCATGTACCCTGTAGCAAAAATCTCTCTCTCTCAAAAAATTAAAAATAGGGACACAAGTGCTGAGCTCCCAGGCTGCCCCAGGCAAGGGCACACAGCCTGTGAGCCACATGGGGCCAACAGAGTTTCAGAGTCCGCCGGCTTCCAAGGCATCCTGGGCTTCTAGCTGGCCGGGTCACTGCCCACTCACATCTTCCCCACCCAGAGAGTAAAACTGGGGTGACTCTGAAGATCCATTTCATCTCATTGTAAATTCAGCATGACAACTCTGGTCCCTTCCAAGTGCCCTGCCAATAGTCCTCTCGGACCTCTTGAGCACCCACAGAATCCCTATTTCAAGTTGTCCCTCTCCTCAAACTCCAAGCACTGGGGACGAGGTGGTGGCTAAGATGAAAGGCTGGGGGACCTCTGTGGGCAGTGGCAGAGCCTGAGGAAGGCATGGGCAATACTGTCCTGCCACCGCCCCGCCACGGGTGCTGGAAATGATCACATGACTGAGATGGCCCGGGAGCCAAGAAACGAGAGCCCAGACCACAGCAATGAAGGTCATCTCCACCTGCCCAGGTACCAGTACCTGCCAGGTCCGGGCTCTGCCAGCCTGAGCTTGGTGCCTGCTGCCAGTGGGGTTTGGCCCAAGGATTCAAGAGGCCTGAAGAGAGCGTGGGGCTGCCCTGCTGGGCCACCAGCACGGGTGGTTGTCCCTTCTGCAGGTGCCATTGTCACTTACCTCATTTTGTTGACACGTGAACTCTCTGCCACTTCCAGCGTTAGTCCACGCTGTCTCCCTCTGCTTCATGATTCCTGCTTCCTGCCTCCTCTCTGCTTCTTGTTCCCAGGCACCAACTGTCTGCATATCCCACAGCCAGGCCCACAGCTCCCAGCCATGGCCGGGGTGCAATCCACCTGTGGCTGGCCTGGGCCGGCGTCCTTGTCCTCTTCATCTGTTCGGGAGTGGGCTGAGTGGGAGTCCCTGGGTCAGTTTTGTCTGAGAAGCCATGAGTATGCGGGCATGGACTGCAGTCTCACAGGTACTGGGGACTGGTGGGGCCCTGGGGTGGCTCAGAAGGGCCCTGTCCCCATTGGGAGGGACCAGGTTCTTCCTCTGAAGCCCTGTCATCCTGGAACTAGAGCTCCAGATGCACATAGACTTTTCGGGGAATGACACCCCTAGAGGCTGAGGGCAGTTAATCCCTGGCTGGGCCCTGGGATCCCCTCCAGGAGCGCTGGGTTCAGAGTGGGCAGTTAGACGTGAGCACTCAGACCTCACATCTGAGCATGACCAGCAGGCCCTCAGGGAGCTCAGGGCCTGGAGTGAGGCTGTCCTATGGTCCTGTAGGGGACCAGGGATGAGCAGGCTGGGACATGGGGGATACAATGCAGAGAAGGGGTGGGCGTGCCGGGCCAGGTTCAGAAAGGCAAGTTGGAGACAGATCACGAGAGAGCTAGGCCGCCGGACTTGGGGCTTGTCCTTTCCTTGGGACCCGGGGAGCCGCAGAAAGGGACAGAGGGGGTCC